TGCAGCCCCCTGCCCTTCAGATATGTCATTGCCCTGGTCAAACATTGCTCAGGTTGTATTTCTTTTCAGTTGTGCATCCTATCTTTGCCTGAGAGCTCCTGGGGGTGCTGCTGCGGGTGCTGCTGGGACAGTCAGGGCATCCTCAAGTGGTACAGGAGCCTCGAGGCACTGGGCACAACCTGCGAGGCTCTGAATCTCGTTCAGGCATTGATAATTATCAGTCCAGAGAGCTGAGCCCTTAGGGAGATATGATATACTCAGCTCTTACATCCTGCCCATTTAGGGGAGAAAAATTCAGCAATGAGGCAATGCTGCAATTGACAGGTCCAAGGAAAAGCAGCCAGGTTGCTTCTCACAGCAAGAGACGGCTAACTGCAGGGATTAACAGAACGAGGGAGTATGGAGAGAGACCCACTTCTTCAGAGTGAGGCCTTTGATCCCTCCAGAAAAAGCCATTCAAAGAAAGAAGGGAAGGAAAACGAACCCAAGAAATATTGAAGACAACACATGGCAGTTTGAGCCACTCACCAAAGGTTGGTGAGGGGTGAGGAGTAGTGAAAAGGCAAACAACAGCTTCTCCTTAATAATTAAATGAAGTGCTGCTCATCAATTAGAGATGACTTTAACATTTTGGAAAACTCACAGCGATGCTTTCTAACTGCAGACAGACCCTTTTGTGCAGTGAGCAAGGGCAGTGCTGGTGCCCACCACTGGCACTTCAGGCTCCACGGTCGGTGACCGTGAGCTCCGAGCCAGGTGCCTCAGGGAACAAGTATTCACCCAGTTCTGCTGCTCCACTGTCTTCTCCTGGTGCAGGCATTGCAATGCACACCCAAGGTGCAGGGATGTGTCCCACCAGGGTCAAGTGGCCTGAACAAGACACCTCATCCTTCCTCTCCTGCTCCTGCAAACAGGAAGAAAAATAGTTGGTCCTTAGTTTCCCTTCTTTGGTCTGGCTTATCCTCTCCCAGGAAGATGCTGGGAGCATGTCCTGGTCCCCTCCAGCCACCCAGACCCCCCCCACTCCTCCCCGGGCAGGCACTTGGTCTGGTCTGACCAGGAGCATCCCTGCCCCTGCAGCCATGGCCACCCTTGGGCTTGTGGAAACCACCACCGGGTTTGCACCAGCTAGACAGCCCCAGAGCCCCAGGACATTCCCTCCAGCCCCTTCTTGCCCTCCTGTTGTTTGGACTAGACTCTTAAAGTAATTAGTAGCGGTGCAGAATGATTCTATTCCTTAGCCAGTGGATGCCACAGCCCTGATGAAATGCTTTGTGGCCTTTTGCAGAGTGCCAGTGCAGCTCTGTCTCCTGAACTAATGTCTTTATAATGAAATGAACTTCTTGATGTGCTAAATTAGTCAGTCCCTGTGCCATCCTGAGGCTGTGGCTCCTGGGGTGCACTGCTGCTCCTCTCGGCCAGGGCTGGGGCTGCCAGTTGCCACGGTGGGGCAGAAGCAGGGCAGCAGGAGCAGCAGCACGCAAGAGGGGAATTGCAGTGGATGACCTTTACCTCTGTTGGGAAGCTTTGCCACATCTGGTGAAACTCCCTGTGGATGGGGCTCGTCTGGGAGTCCAAGTCCTTCCTTCAAACTGTGTCGTTACGGGTCTGTGTGTGGTGCTGCGCAGAGCCCTGCGCT